GTCTTTGGGGGTTACTCTTAAAATCTAGTGCGTCCAGAATCAGGGGTACCCTGAGTTCTCATAATTCCTGCAGCCCGGTCATCCCAAAGCACTGTCAAAACGCGGACTTAACCCTGAGCCTAAACCCCTAAACTGCCGTTTTCAGGCGGCGCACTACTTGTGGCCGCCTGACAACGGCACGCGTCGCTGCTCTCAGAGCGTACTCCAAGGTATCGGTCGACACTCCTCTGGCACGACCTCGTTGAGGCTCACAACCCGATGCCGGTACCTCCCTCGCCGTGGTCGTCCTAGCGCCTCCTCCTCCCAAGCCCGGCTGAAGGCGTGCAGTGTGCTCCGTGACACGGCAGGTGGAATCCAAATGTATATTTGTCCTCCCGAATATCGTCGTGTCACACACGTCCTGCTGAACTGCTGTCATGTCACGAATCCTAGATCTCCCAGGCGTGTGTGGGGATCGAGAGTCTCTGTCTGTGGGTGACGATGATGGATCACCAGCAAGTGCTCTGGGAGGAGGGGGTGGCATGTCTCCTGTGCGTGGCGCTGTCTCCGTCACGCCACCCGAAACCCCTGGAACATGTCCCGCGGTATGTCCTCCAGTGGAGGTAGACCCAGACCACACGGGCGACGCAGGACCCCATGGAACCGAAGGGATCGACTGCCACGGTGGGTGCTCGAGCTTCCGGTCGAAGATCCGCCGGTCCAAGCGAGTAACATCGCGCACAGCCTCTCTCGCCAACTCCTCTGCATCCAAAGGACGACGGACCTCTTGCGGAGCAAAGTGGCTAGGAAGACGTGGGGGCTCAACCACCGGCTCAGACCCCAAATCTGTGATAACGGGTGGTGGCACACCATGCACTGCCATCTGAACCGCCTGCGGCTGTCGGGTCTGAGCCAAGTGCAGGCCCGAGAACGGAACGACTGGACCCGTCGCTGTCTCCTGCCCCTCGCGTCGTGAGTCTATAGCCCCCTCGACTCATCGCTGTCCTCCCTGCACTGCCTCATCCACCGCCTGAGCCCGTCCCTCCACAGCAACGTCCGCTGTCTCTGCTCCACCCGGCATAGTCTCGGGTACCGGCTCTGCTGCCACTCCCTCCGCAACGTCCTCCCCCGCCACCATCCCACCCTGCACACAATCCCCCCCTATCTCTAGACGCCTGGCGTCCTCTACCGCCCGTGCGAACGCCTGAGCACGAAGGTCAGCCGATGCCAAAAGTCTAGCCCTCTCTCGCTCCATGATGTCGTGTGCTGCATCTGGAGACTGAGTCTTCGTCCTCTCTCTAGCGATCTGCGTCGAAGTCCTGCCTGGCGCCTCGTCCCTCGATAGAGCCCGATCCGTCGATGTCGCCCCGCCGCAACTGGGTGGAAGGCCCACCGACAAATCCAAGTCTAAGTGGGTCCCCATCTCCGAATCTGAAATCCCAAACCCCCTCTCCACACCCGGGGTCATACCCGCTATGGCCGGACCGAGCTCCTCCGTGAGGAACTGCTGCATGAGGCGCTCGTCATCGCCCCCACGCTGCACCTCGGCCTGTGCGGCTATCTTCTCCTCCACTGCAGCTGCCGACGGTGCGTCCTCCTCCTCCAGTGCTGCCGTCACCTCAACCTCCACTACTGCTGCTCCTCCACCTGCTCTTCCTGCTGTTGCCACCTGCCCCTCCACTGCTGCACCTCCTCCTGCTGCTGGTGGATCCTCCGCCAGCACTGATGCTGCCATCTCCTCTAGCACTGATGCTGCTGCTGCTGCTGCTGCTGCTATCTCCTGCACCGCGGCCGCGATCGTCGCGTCCGACACAGCCGCTGGTGCCATCGAACTCTCCACTGCTGCTGCCGAAGGTCCCCCCTCCTCCTGCCCTATCCCCGAGGAAGGTGATCGTAACCTAAGCTGGCGGACTGCCCCGCCTCTATGGAGAAGGCCTCGTTGAGGCAAAGAGGACCCCAACTCCTCCCTGTCCGGCTGAAGTGGCGAGACGGACGATCGTGGTGCAGGACTCGGAGCAGGAGGTGGCGGCATGGACGAATCCCACCTCGTCGGAGTGGGGGTCGTCGCCTGCGCCTCTGGGCCGCCCGTGGAAGCGACCTCACCGAATGGGCCCCAAAAGTCCTCGTCTCCCCCCACCATCTCGCTCTCCGCCCGGTCCGCCGCCCGTCGTGCAGTCTGTGTCCTCGTGTCCTCGGAGCCGGGATCCTCGTGCGTCTCGTCGATCTCCCAGGGAATGCGGAGCGCAGGGTCATCTGCCGCCTCGGGTATCGGCTCCTCGTCTGAGTCGTCGTCCCTGGGGTAGGGACGAAAAATGCAAGCACGTCTATCGAAAACGGCATCAGCTGAGGGTGGTGCGGACGCCCCGATGGGATCCCGGGTAATAAGTGCAACCTGACGGGCAATCTCCTCGTCCGTCATCCCCCTACGAGTTTTCGTGCGCACAGACTCCAACTCGAGTCCTGCCTGGCAATCCAACATGCCCTCGTCCCGCTGCCATGGCAGCACATAACCGCATCCAGCCCGCCGATACTCAGTCAACCGCACATTTGCGGTGATCTCAACGAGTTGCACGACCTTCTCGAAGGCCAACTGGTTGCGTTTCTTCGTGTGAATGCCCTCGTGGACTGCCCAGTTCCTCTCCGCCAGAGAGGCGCAAGACCACATGTGCACCATCCGAAGAGCGCAACGATGCAACTGTGGCGCGCCCGACCCGAACTGAGACCACCAAGACGCGCACTCAATCGTCTCGTTGTCGCCGCTGCACGCGCGCCCACGAGCACGCCCCTCCGGACCGCCCCAATCCCCGAACCTGCCCTGCTGAATGTGGAAGTCTTCAAACTACCGACCTGCAAGGATGTACTCCGCACCCTCCAGCTCGAATCCCGTCTGCATCAAAATGTTAACCAAAGTCGAGATTCAATCAACACATACAAGTGATTGGCCGCAATCATTATTATTATTATACACATTCTGGCTCTCTCTCTCACTCTCTCTCTGTCTCAATCTCTCCCCCTCTCGGGCCTCTCCCTTCGTCTCTCTCCTGTACATGCTAATCTCTTTCTCTCTCGTTGTCCCTCTCTCAATTATTGTACACACGCGAGGCCTATTCGGAAACACTACTCATGGCCATGAGAAAGAGAGAGGGAGACACGTGGCATTGCGATGTACTTGCACGTGCGCTGGATATCCAGAGTGAACGAGAGAAAGATAGAGAGAGAGAGAGAGAGAGGGAGACACGTGACATTCCCATGTAGTTGCATGTATGCGGCCTCTTCTCTGTCGTCCGTGCACCTGCCACGTGGTCCATTCGGTCCTTAATAGGGCTATTCTCGTCGATGTCGTCCATAGAGCTGCCACGAGGTGCACTCGCCATCCTTGTACTTGCCACGTGGCTGCCACTTGCCAGCTGCCGCATGGTGCACTACGTCCTTAGACTCTCTCTCTCTCTCTCTCTCTCTCTCTCTCTCTCTCTCTCTCTCTCTCT